ACCTGAAAAACTTTTAGCTTATTATCGTGGGTCTCATATTTGCTTCTCAAATTTTCTGAATCTTTCAAGGTTTGTCTAACATACTCTTGTATGGGTGGATTCAGTAACAGGTATACAAGAGTCTGTATTAAGTTTGGGCACAACTATACTGCAAGAAAAATGCCAATAGATCTCCCCTGAAGTTACACTTAGGAAGTCAGGTTTCCCTGCGTGAGTTCACCTGACCACACAGGTGACCACACAGAAGCCATCAGAGAGAGGAGAGAAAATAAGCTTTGTTTGCAGTTTATGCAAAAATTCTCCTTCCTACCACTAGTGCCTCTCTTTTAAGCAGGTGCTGGTCTGGTACTAGGCCAGCTAGATAAACAAAAGCAAGAAAAACATTGACAGAAAGAGAGGAGGAAATGTTCCCTTTAGCCTTGTTCCAGGTACAGTCATGGCTAAAAATATTGTCACCCTTGCAATTCTGTCAGAAAATGCAACCCTTCTCTCAGAAAATGTTTTGGTACTCTCATATTCATTTTTTGTTTGTGTTGGAACAACAGAAAAAGCAGAGAGGAAAAGTCAAATCTGATACAATCCTATACAGAAACACAAATATCCACTGGCCAAAATTATTGATGCCCTATCTGAATTGTAAGAAATAATTGCTTTTCAAGCATGTGGTGCTCCTTTAATTTGTATTTATACACACCTGTCGCAAGTAAGAGGTGTGGGCAATATAGTAATGACACTTGCAACCAGTCAAGATGGAGAAAAGAATGAAGTGTAAAGAGTTGTCTGTGGATTTGAGAGAATTTTTTTGGAAAAACATCAACAATCTCAAGGCTACAAGTCCATCTCCAGAGATCTTAATGTTGCTGTGTCCACTGTGCACAATGTCATTAAGAGGTTTACAGCCCATGGCACTGCAGCTAACCTACATGGACGGAAGAGCAAAATTACTGAAAAATTACAACGAAGGGTTGTTTGAATGATGGATACAGAACCCAGATTTACTTCCAAACAAATTCAAGTTGATCTGCAGACACAGGGTACAACAGTGTCAGCTCGCACTATCCATCACCATCTTAATTAAAAGGGACGCTATGGTAGGAGACCCAGGAAGACACCACTGCTGACACAAAGGCATAAAAAAGCAAGACTGAAGTTTGCCAAAACGTATGTGATAAAACCACAATCCTTCTCAGAGAACATACTGTGGACAGATGAGACAAAAGTAGAGCTTTTTGGTAAAGGACATCATGGCACTGTTTACAGAAAAAGAAATGAGATATTCAAAGAAAAGAAGACAGTCCCTACAGTCAAACATGGTGGAGGTTCAAAGATGTTTTGGGGTTGCTTTGCTGCTTCTGGCACTGGATGCCTTGACTGTGTGAATGGTATCATGAAATCTGATGATTACCAAAGAATTTTGGGGCTCAGCATAATGGCCACTGTTAGAAAGCTGCATCTCCACCAGAGGTCATGGGTCTTCCAGCAGGACAATGACTCAAAACACATTTCAAAAAGCACTCAGATATGGTTACAAACAAAGCGCTGGAGAGTTCTGAAATGGCCAGCAATGAGTCTGGTCTGATCTCTCCTCTCTGTGGAGAGATCTCAAAACAGGAGTAGGGAGAAGGCATCCTTCAAATCTGAAGGCC